GCCTGAAGTCAAGGATATACGAGATTTGAGGCTTAAAGAGGAAATCTTAATGAACATGGTAAAATAAACCTATTCAAGATGGGACCCGAAGTGATTCAATACAGACGTTAACTGGAGAATACAGACGTTAACTGGAGAACAAATGATATGATCATTTGAATTAATACAATGCAGTTCATGCAGTATTTGGGTAGGACATATGCACTGAATCGCCAGAAAGAATAACGTATACAATCGGAAGATAGAATATTTTTATTAAAACAAGGTAGTAAAATATTATTTATGTTATCTCACCTTCTTCATTATATTGACGACAATTGGCAAACATCAAACGATAATCGGCGACAACATCTTCAACATCACGATATTTATCCGCCCGTATATTGTGTTCAATGGTATTCATGTCAATGGGATTTTGAATGACATCATAATAGTCTGGATATATTTTTCGTGGCGGCTTTTCCATAAATAAATCAATTGGCTTGCGAGTACCCAATGAAAAGTCCAATAGGTATTTATGTAGAGCCAAAATCTTTTTCTTTAGCTGTGGGGTTATGGTCATACGTTGTGGTTTAGGTGTAGCTACCACTGATGCATTTAACGTGCTGCTATTGGCTGATTGATTCAGACGTGGACGTCCTTTTTTCCTCTTTTCCGGGGTTGGTCCTGCAGACGCAACCAAGGTATTCTGTTCACTTTCATCATCATCATCGGCGTCCTCATCCTCTTCCTCCTCCTCCATTTCACTGGTATCTTGATCGGGAGTATCTTCTACCAATTTGGCATTCATTAGTTTCAGCATTTTCACAGCATCTTTATGGGTGCGATGTGTAGGAGGATAAGCCTTTTTGGCATTGTCAAGCATTAGATACAGATCGGCTGTTAAATCACTTATATTGGCATATTCTCCTTTATTCAATTTGGTATGAATTTGACACATGGATATGGGACGTTTGATAAGCTCAAAGTACTCCGGATGGAATCTGCGTATGGGTAATTTCCACAATGATGTACCCAGTGGTGGACCTGTTGCTCCAGGATGTTCAGAGAAGCCGGGAGCATTGTAAAGATGATCGAACAGTGCCCACATGGGGCCTTCTCCCTTTTTGCTCGTCTCCTCGTCATCGGAACTATCAACTTCTTCCTTGAGCGCAGCAATGGCGGCGCTCATTAAAGATTTTGGCCTTTTTACGGGCTTTACTTTACCCGTTTCCAATTCCACCCGTCTCTGAGTGAATATTTTCTTTAAAGTCTTGGCATCTTTGTAGATTTGTGATCCAGGTTCATTAAATTGGCATGCATTCTTCGTCATTTGTAACAAATCCTTTTCCATTTCCTGCAAATTGGAATAGGCATTGGTTTGTATCTTTGTGGCAATCAATCTCAAATCGATGGGATGTTCAATAACATCATAATAATCCGGGTACATTTTCTTCGATGGTAATAATAGAAACATTCGGTGTAAGGGTCTATCATTCATTGTACTATCTACAGATGTCATTACAGATGCAAACAACTCTTCATATAAATTCATATCATCATCTTTACTGCCACCATCTTCATCGGCTGTGCAAGTCAAACGTCGTCGGCCTCTTTTATTTTTTGGTTCGTCCTCTGCCATACCAAGAGATTCAAGTAGTTTTTGTTTGTTTGCCGTAACGTACTGCCACAGTGCCACGGCATCTTGATGCTCCATTGTGTCTGGTTTATAAAAAGCCTTTGCATTGTTAACCAGCAACTCGAAATCTTGCACAAGCTCATCCAAGTCTTCGTAAACATCCGTTTTAAGTTTCTGCTGTATTTTCAACAAATCAATAGGATTGTTAACCACATCATAATAAGATGGCTCCTGGCGTCTCTTTGGTGCCCTTATGAATGTGTCACACAACATCGAACCATCTTCCTTCTTCAAATTGCGTATTGAATCGTACAGTGATTGACACATTTCACTTGGATCTAGCTTGCGTTTCTTACGAACCGCAGTCAAGGAGGAAATTATGGAATTTGATGCAGTTGCCAATACCGGTGATTTCTCCGGCGTGGAGTCGTCCATTTGTAAAGGTTCTTCGTCATTCTTACTGCTAATCGAACTTGCGCGTCGTTTACGGCTCAACATAATGTTTGTTCAGGTATTAGAATATATTCAAGCAAACACTTTTAACTTAAAATAAATAAATTTTCTTTTCTTAAATTTATTTTAAAAAAATCACACAATTTCCTCCAAATTTTTTCCTTTGCTAGATAGACGCCTAGGGATAGCTAAGTCGACTTTCGCACATTTTGTCGTCTCTGCTTCAAGCGCGTTGGAAACAAAAATGAAAAACGTCCCAACGAAACTAATATGAAGGCCACAAAGGAATACCCGTCTCTGCTTCAAGCGCGTTGGAAACAAAAATGAAAAACGTCCCAACGAAACGAATATCAAGGCCACAAAGGAATATGCAATAAAAAATAAACAGAAAACAAAGACTCGGTTTACTCTGTTGTTTACGAACGAGACATGAGAAAATTGAACATCTTCACTAAAGAGCGCGGAACTAGTCGCTTCTATCGATTGCCGAACTCGACTATGGACTTGGGTGAAAACCGAGTACTCGACTATTGATAGCAGTGTTACCACGGAAAAAACTGCATTTTGCCCACGGAGAGTAAAAATATTACATATTTTGGGAATTTGTATCAATATTTTTAAATAATTGCCTTTGTTAACAAAAAGTACTATATAGCCCAAAAACAAAAGTAAGTTCATTTTGTATCAAATTTATAAAATCTAATTTGGAATTATTTAAAGTACTAAATATTCGATGTCTTAAGTCTGCAATATTCCTCTCTTAGCTTATTATCTTCATATACTCTTTATTAAAATTAAACTGTGCTATACAAAGTAAATGTGAATCCCAATCATTTCTTGACTTTCTCAAAAAGCATCAGCTAAATAGCAATTGTAAAGGGAAGGATTATAAAAAAGTTTTAAAAGTAGCTAAACAAAGTAAAGTAAAGTAAACCTTATTAGAGTCTTCTTCTTTTTTGGTAAATGTACGTACAAATCGAAAGGTTAACATGTTTAACTTAGAACTATAGTCGTCATGTTCTATTATACAGTGAAGTCGTAAAGATATACTACTTAGCGTAATATGAGAATGTATTATGTATTTCATTCAAGGTGAAAAGAGAAAATAAGGCTTGCTCCCGGCCAATAGCTAAACAGTAAATTGCACATGGGACACACACATGAGGTGGCAACACTGATTCATAGTTGTTGTTCGACTTGCTTTACTAAAATTTTCTTTCCTTGTTAAAGAGACGCCATAAAATACCATTTCGTGCGTAAACACAGAGTTGTTTCGAAAATGTCACTCCATTGCCTACTTCACAAAGACGAATTTTGGTATCTAGACAATTAATACATGAACTCTACTGTCTTCTTATACCTTACACCACGCTGTGGTCAGGGTATTATGTATTTGTGAAACAAACATGGAGAAGGAAGCGAGATAGACCCAAAGTTACATTTGATGATCCACATAGGATCACTTTCTGAGTCGATTTTGGCATGTCCGTTCGTCTGTCCATGTATTTTTGAAAACAAAGTACAGGTCGCATTTATTGACTGATTGTACTCCATAACAATAATATTGGGGAAATATATTAAAAAAACCGCAGGGAAATACCTTTGCCAAACTCCATCGAGATCGGTTTACATTATGATATAGTTCCCATATGTATTTTTATCCCATTTGATGTTTATTGTTCTCCAAATGGTTAATATAAGTCCGACTGTAGTACATAGTACATACGACCGAATTCAATCTGGAAGAAAGTTTGCCAAATTTGGTGAATATCGGTTCAGATACAGCTATAGGTCTCATATATAAGTTTTACCCAATTTTGTATTTAAGTCCATCACACCCATAAAATGCACTCCACAACAATGATGTTTGGTGCGAGCTAACGGATACAACACAGAAATGACTCCGGTAATTTTTAGATCTGTTTAAACTTCGATACAGCTCCCACACATATCGTCATCCGATTTCTCGTTTATTATGAACTACAGATGTAATATCAGTTCAAATGGGATGGATATTGGTGAAAATCGGCTCAGACACAAATGCCTCCGTCAAATTTAGCGAAAATTAATCTAGAGTACGATATTAATGGTAAAACTAAGAAGGTAAAGTCTTTTCAAATAAGTATATCCATCTCTGTTTTTTCTGTAATTTTCCTTGTCAAATTTCACTGAATAAAAAAGAGGTTCCCATCTCTAAATCAGCTTATAAAATTGGGCCCGACCGACTTTAGCCTTTCTTTATTTTTATTTATTTATTTTTTTTTTTGTTTTGTAAATGCAGGGCTATTTACACCGAACATGTTTTACGTCATAATACAACAAAAAGGTAAGGTAGACCTACCACCTGATAACAATATTTTTCTAAGTGTGCCCGACTTCTGCCAATTCTGTGTATGTATTAATTGTTTTATTTAGACGAAATCCACTAATTCCATAAAAACAACTTATCTCTTGCCTGATTCACTTGTTGTTTAAACATGTGGAGTTATTTGACGTATAGTATTATTTTTAATTTCACGAATTACCAAGACAAATTAAAAAAATTGTCGTATAAATTAAAAAGTGATTTAAAAAGCATGGCATACAGAAGAGTTTCAATTACTGAAATATTCAATCTCTTTGAGACAAAATTAAGCTTTGCATGAAATATTTTGCTTCGTAACTAAAAATTTCACAATTTTTTTCGATATCGTAAAGAAAAATCGGCTATCCTAGTAAAAAGTTTACATTCTTTCTGGAAAAAATCATTTACATGATCTCGATTAGTGAAAATTTATATTTGTATTTTGATATTTTTCGACTATTATTCTTTTAAATGTTTTATCTGCTGATATTTAGAGATTTATTTTTTCACTTCATGATATATGTAAATATTACTTATTAATTAAATAACAAATAGTCTGTTTAAACATAGTAGAGTTTTGCCACAAGTTGAAGTGCCCTGTTAAAAATACAACCCTATTGTGCCAATTTTTATGTGGAACGACAACCCTGTCATTAAACGCAAAATATCTACTGCAATTTGCATCAGGTAATTTATCACCGGGGAATTTTTATTATTTATTTACGTTGTATTTTTATGCCAAGCAATTAAAAAAGGAGATACATTCCATTACCAAAATTTATTACAGCCAATCGTCAAACTCGTTAATAAAAGCTCTAAAAAACAATGACTGGTCGTGGAAAGGGAGGAAAAGGTTTGGGAAAAGGAGGAGCCAAGCGTCATCGTAAGGTACTTCGTGATAATATCCAAGGTATAACCAAACCAGCTATTCGTCGTTTGGCACGCCGTGGAGGTGTTAAACGTATATCTGGCTTGATATACGAAGAGACTCGAGGTGTATTAAAGGTACGTATGTTGGTATGTGTGTGCGTGCACGCATTACAATCATACCTGTATGAAAATGTTTTGTTGTTTGTTTGAATATTCTAGAAATAAAACATTTTATTTTCTCACTTGTCAAAGGTATTCTTGGAAAACGTCATTCGTGATGCTGTCACCTACACCGAACACGCCAAGCGCAAAACTGTAACGGCTATGGACGTGGTCTATGCATTGAAACGTCAAGGTCGTACTTTGTACGGTTTTGGTGGTTAAGTTTCCTACTGGGGTAGACGATCTCTTTCGTATACAACTGTCATATTGATGTAACGTATTAAAGCAAGGACAACCCATCAATTTATTCCAGATATTGACGCAGAATAATAAGAATTCCATTTCAATATGACTAAACTATCATTCGATTGTGCACACAATACATATTAAATAGTAATATAAAACCTATTTGTTTGGTGTTCCCTTTGCAAATAATAATGACTATATTTTTGGCAAATACATTTCGATTGTAATTTTGAGATAATATGACAGTATAATAAACATAAATCAGTACTATTTTAAAAGCAAACACAAACATCATGTTTATCTTGAAAGTAGGTTGGTAGGAACCTAAAATGCACTTTCATGCACAGCAAAGCACATATCTCTATTCTACTTTTTATATCCTCTGTACTATTCCCTATACTAGAATTAAATGAGACTAAATTTCCCAGTGGATTTAGCCAAAAATAGTACTTGAGGTTTCATTGAATTTGACGTAGTCAAGGTCACCGAGATTCTGATCCAAGTTACGATTGCAGAGGAATCAACGAATTGAATAAAACTAATATTTTGTAATTTTTCTAAATCTTACAGACTTTTTTAGAAGAAATAACAAAGGAAAGTTTGTTTCTGCTTTAGAATGCAGGTCGGTTCTAGAGGTTAATTACTCTTTATTAAGCTTGGCTGGATCCCCGTCCTTTGGCATCAAAATTCCATACAAGTTTGTAAAAAAGGAACTAGGTTAAAATGATGGACGCACATGTAGTTTGGCTATCTCCGGATCACCCTGCGAACGGGGTAGGCCAAAGGTTTCCAAAAACAAAAACAAACTCGTCAAACTATTGCTACTACTGCTAATGGTGTTCAATATCTTATTTTTTCACATTTCCCCTTTTTATAGAAAAATAAGATTTATTTATATATCTATTATGGCATAACCGACACATTCGAATCAATGATATTGTTATATTATTTACACAGACAATTTTCATAGCACAAAAGCTCTCTCCTCGTGTCGGTGAATATATGGGACCACTGCAAAAACTTCATACATCTTCATTACTCATCACCCAAACCAAAGAACAATGAACGCGGTGATTTTTCACGTTTACTTCTTCGATTATTCAAATAGTTATCCGTTTCATTTGGCTCCATATCATCATTAGCACTTCTTGGTGACATTGGTATTGGTGTCAAAGGCATTGCTGGTGATTTTTTACCACGTCTTATGAATACCTTTAGCGGTTGATAATTATCCACTAAATCATTACGCAATGTGTCTGAATCGGAAGTAGAATTGATTTCGCTATTTGTACTTCTTGGAGTGGTCATCGAGAGGTCATCTAATTCTAGTTTTTTTAGATTTATATTGGAATTATGATTGTTGTTTTTGTTAAGATTTTTTACTAAAATATTATTGTTGATGTTGCAATCGGCATTATTGTTGTTGTAGAAATTCACGTTATTCTTTTTGGCACTTCGTAATTGCATTCGTGTATTTATAACTGTCGAGACGGTACTGCGACTAGTGTTATTCGACAAAGTGTCCCCAATATTGCTCTCAATTTGAATGGCTGGGATATTGCCCTGGAAGAGTATAAAATTAGATGTTTTCATATTTTGTATTAACTATTTTAAAGTAACATTGATGTATTCAAGAAAAGAAAGAAACAATTCTCTGATTTTTTGCAACAATTTGAGTATTTATAGAATAAAACTCACATAGAAATATTTACGGTAGAATTTATATTTAGGAATATTGTTATACAGTAAATCGAACTGCAACTTGACTTTCAAGATGATGGGAAAGATTGAAAGTTTGAAATTATATAAAAATATATGGTGGAACACTTAGTAGCCCTATATAGTATATCCCTAACTTGGTCTGAAACTAGAATTTTGAAAGGGTTTGTCATGCGAGTGAAGGCTGAGTTTTCGGAAATCCGCACTAAACGAGTACGAAAAGTACTAAAAATGTAACACTTGGTATTGGACAAACGGAATGATATAGATGGAGTTAAGGAAAGATGTATAAGAGTTTTTGGAAATTCGAACTTTAAGGTTACGAGAAGTTCTAAAATAGTGTTAGACTTTGAAAATGGTACCAATTGGTATTAGGGGAACGGATAGATCTAAAAACTAGAAATTTGATATGAGAATCGAGTTTGGAATGTAAGATTGATACATTAGGGTGGTTTTAACAAAGTGTATTAAGTGTGCGAACTGTACTAAATGGTAATAACTTGGAACAGTTTGGTTCAGGGTGAACGGAAGGTGGAATTTTGTTTCGGAAATTATTGTATGAAAAGTACTGAACGGCACAATATTTGGTATTGGGTGAAGGGATAGAAATTTTATATTTGGTTTACCTATGGTATCTGTATTTAAAATTTGGCGGAGAAATGCTACCTATATTTGTACGAAAAGCACTAAATGGTAATAAGCGTGGTATTTGGTTAAGGGATAAAGCTGGAATCCTCAAATTTGAGGTCTCTGTTGGTATGGTTGGCGAAATCTGACCTAAAACTTGTAGTAGGCTTAATAACAGGTCACTTTAGGTTAGGGCCATGAATTCTAAGTGGGGGCCATGGGCTATTGCAGGCTTTGTCAAGACGAGGGAGAGATAGAAACTGCGAAACATTTACTCTGTCACTGTCCAATTCTTTTTAGAGCCAAACAGAGACTCGCGGGTAAGCGAACTCTGCATGATCTGTCTACACTCTTTAATACTGAGCCGTCAACAATACTTCAGATAGCCAGAAGACTAATATGGCTAAAGACAACACTATAAATTCTGCGTGCATACATCTTATCTAACATAATCTTTATCTCTCTCCCTCTCTCTTCATTTCTTTCCTTTCACTCTAATCAGGATGATAACAATGTACCAACAGTGTTTCGAGTGGGGACATTCTCATCCTCTAACCTAACCTCTGTTGATATCTATAATTGATATATGGAGGTGAGTTTGGAAATGCGTCTTATAATTATTCGAATAGTACTAAATGCTACTACATTTGGCATTAGTTGATGGGATAGGACTGCATTCCTCAAAATTTGATATTGAGGTCTCTGTTGGTATCTGGGATTGAGATATGGATGTGGTTATTATTAGTACTAAATTTGGAATTAGTAATAAGGGTGATATTGAGCTTGATATTGAGGTCTTTGTTGATATCTCGAATTATGATTGGATGTGCATTTGGAAATTTTGAAATATTGATTTTGGATAATTGTTGGTGTCTAGGATGGAGAGATGTGGGTTGTTTTGGATATGTGTACTAAATGTTACTAATTTTGTTCTTGAGTGAATGTATAGAGTTGGAATGCCGAAATTTGATATTGAGATCCCTGTTGCTTTTTCTGGTTTACATATGTAGACTTTGAAATAAATTTGGGCAGAAAATTGGATGTGGGTTCATTGTGCAATGATTTTATTAACCTCCTTATCGGTAAACTTCAAAATTTACGATTTTGAAGACATTTTGGTGTAAAAGGTAAACATTTCCTTATTATGCTTTCCGAAAATGAAAAAACTTCAATAAGTTTTGATTGAAACATTTTGTAAAATGGAACAAATTGTGAATTTTGAGTACTAAACGGAAGACTTTTCACAGTAGTGTGCACTAGCTATTGTCTTTATAAAGTTTCAAAGCAATGTTTTTAATATTATTGTACAAAATACTTTGTACATACACATGAGTTGGGTTGAGACGCTGGGAAAATCTAGCAATTAAAAATACATTTTCTAAATTTTCCTAGCCGCCATAAAATATCATTTCATCTATTTCCCTAAAAACTACTCTGCCTTTCTAGTTTTGAAATAGGGAATAGAATGACCGCATCCCAAGTCATAGACAATCACCAATAACATTAATATTTACCAACTAAATAATTCATTATTCTGTATTTGTAATAAATAGGTATATCTAAATAAATATATTATACTATTAATATTGTCCCCTTTGAAATTCTAATTCTAAATCGTATGAACATAAAATCTCATAAATTTCTTTACGAAATTGCAAAGCATTTAAACTTACATCGCTTTCATTGGAAAATTCATGATCCGATTTGGAGATTTTACGTTTTGCCGAATCCTTAGGTGGTGATTCAACATATTTCATTTCACTTTTTACTTTGCGAACTTTATGTGACTTTCTCGACTCTTTTGGTGTTAAGGTTTGTTCGCTGGTTTTAGAAGAAATGCCATTGAAAGGTATGGAAATAGTTTCATCTTCTTCTTGTTCGATTTCCGTTGACTGCTGCAAACGGTGGGCGGATTGACGAGGAGTGGCTTCGTCATTACTGCCGGCAACGCTATTGGCCAATTTTTGAAAATCGTTGCGCCTTAATAATTAATAAATTTAAATACCATAATTTCTCAATTAATCTAATCTCTTTGGGGCTTACTCTCTTATGATTGATTGCAATGACTCATCCTTGACCAGTACATATCCATCGGGTATTTGTGAATTCATTTTGCTTTCCAATTGACTTTCATAGGCGAGAATTTGTTGATTTAATTTATCATTTAACTGTTCGGCTTTTTTACGTAACATTCGTTCAAATTCAAGTTGTTCTTCAAGGGTTTTAATTTGTTCCTTGAGTGCTGCAATGGTTATTTTGGGACGTTTGATCATTGTCCCATTAGGTCCTGGTACCAACTCATGATTTTTCTCAGCCAACAGCAATTGATCTTCATCTTCTTTGCCCAACTGCTCGCGTATGCTACGCTGTAGAAATTTACTGATACCCGCATTGCCACGTACATTGAAATCAATTATATAATTATTGAGCTCCAAACAATCGAGTATTAAATTTGCTGCACGATCGGTAAGGCCACAATTTTCCATATCAATGACTAGGTTTGGGAAAAAATATTTTATTCTTAATATAATAAATAAAAAGTTTACATTCCTCACCCTTTATCCACACATCTTCCTTTAATACTTCAACTATCGGTTTTATACCCTCGTCGCCGATTTGGGGATTGCGCGCCAATGTAAGAGATCTCAATCCTGGCATTGTGTCAGGATCGACATCTCTGTAACGCAGAGATTTTTGCCAGCCTTCAGTGTAACGACTTATTTTCTGTATTTTTACCATATCGGCCACATATTCGGCACCCTTTGTTGTCAATTCACATTCCGATAAATTTAATTTCTCTACATTCTCTAAATATTTAATTGTATTGCAAATGGCCTCGCAGCCCTTATCGCCAATATTGGAACGTTGAAAACTTATATCGTTTAAGCTTTCATTGGACGATAAAGCCTGAAAATATATGAATATTAGAAAAATTTCCATGTTGTAAGACTAAATTGTGAATTATTTGTATATTTGTAACTTATATACCTAAAAAATATATACAGGGTGAGATAAAAAAACTGGAACACGTCAAACGCCATACATTTTTTCTTTTAAATTATATTGAATGAAAGCAAAAAATGTCGGAAATAGTATCAAA